GCATAAATTTACATTTGTATATATATTTTTTTTAAATTTTTTAATCACAGTCTACTGGTTAAACTTTGAGAAAATTTTGAGAGTTTTAACCCTTTAATACCTAAGAGTGACAAGCATCTCACTTCTCCTTACAATATCTCTCAGAAATTACAGGTTAATGTCAAGAGAATAGAGGAAATGATCACCAACTAGAGAACCTCTTGATTGTGAACCAAATTCTCCTTTTCAGTACTTTAAGAAATATATAGAGGACAGTAAGGAGAATATGCATACTCATGTTTGGGTGTAAAGGGTTAAAAACAATGCTCATAAACAGTTTTGTTGCAGAACAAATTATGCAAACACTTTTGAGTACCTGTGTGGCCCATACTCCAGAGCACATCAGCTTGTAACACATGAACAATCTGGAATAAAATATAAAAAAAAAACCAGCTAATGAGTGAACAGAAGGCAAACAAAGTAGCTTAAGGAAACACAACGAACAATGAAAAAAAAAATTATTACAATGATAACAGAACGTGCAAATATGTATTTGCATCATTTAAATGTACCAGTTGGTATCTTATAGCACATTTGACTTGAATGTGAAGTCTACATTGTGGTTTATTTTATTTCCTTAATTGGAATTCTCTCAACAAGTTCGACTTAAAATCTTAAATACAAAACAGAGAAAATCATAAATCTAACCAGTGTGAAAAATGTCAAAGTAAGACAGAATTTGAGCCCCATTGTGAAGTTTAATGCCTCAGAACACAATACAGTTAGCCCCCCTTAAGAGCTTAAGCAGACAGCAGATCTTTTGAACAGAGTCTAATGCATTTACCACTAGGCCATAACATCCTCAGTGAGAATGAATATGTACATGCACCAATACTAGTAATGTTTTATATGTGTATCTGGGTCTTCATCATTTTACCTGTCTTGGGACAGATCTGAGGATTCTTCTACCAGGGTTGTGACGAAGCTGAGACTGAATAAGGCTGTGACTCTGAAAAGATTGATGCACACAATTGGTTGACAATTAAATTCATACTTTGGATATTCATTTTTTTTTGGTCTGTCTCTAAACACTGCATTCCTTAGCAAACTGTGAAGATAAAACGCTAGAGACCAAAACTCACCAATGCTAGACTGGAGCGTGTTGTCCTCCTGTCCAAAATAAATCACATTGATACAAGTAGTTTAAGATGCATACAAATTTGTAAGGCTCACTTTAAAAGAGAGAAGAAATGAACATCAATTTGGAAAAAATGCTGTATTATTTATAACCCTTTAACTCCCAGACGTGATCAACAAGCCACTTCTCCCAATAATATCCATACATTATTTAGCAAACAGGTGATGAGAATACTCAAACTTATCGCAAAGAAGTTGTCATTCTTGATCTAACACCAAGTTCTCGTGACTAATTTACATGAAAATGTGTGGCAGGTAGAGAGGAGAATTAACAATCATATCTTAGGAGTTAAAGGGTTAATGTAAACATGTACATGTACCTTGCACTCCACACCTGTGACCAACAACCTACATCCTGTTCTGCACAGTCTGCATCTGCACTCCGTTCAGTTTCTTTCTTCAGTTCATCCTCTTTCACTGCAAGTGAGAGATTCTCATGAGTAAATACATTGTACATGTCTATTTGAGAATCTTGAGCAAAAGCTTTTTTAAAGCTGAATTCAAGGGAACTGATTCACTGGCAAGATTTAATGGCTTCCTTTTTACAAACACACAAGCACAATGCAGCACTTGAATATTTATGCACATCTTATATGACACCGAGTTAAAAGTCAGCAAATTGTAATGCAGGTACATGTACCTTCTATGCTCTTGAGAAATCTTTCAACTCTTTTTTGCGGTGTAACACTTCGGACCTTAGGATGTCTCTTTAGTGCATCAACACCACTTCTTGTGTCTCCTTTCAACTGTTGATAACAAGTTCATGTGCAAGTGAGAAAGTTCAAAATTAACCCTTTACACCCTAACATCAGTATGCATATT